GTTCGACTCTCCTCCTCCTGAGGCGGAGGTGCGGCGGATGGGCACTGGCATGGCCACTCGGATGAAGCCATCACGCGAGGACTTCGACTTCGTTTTCAGAGCGTTTTTCAGGGTTTTTTTATGGGACTCCCTAAACCTTAAACCCTAAACCTTTATGGGGCGTCTGGGACCTGGGGCTTCGGGCTTGTGAGGGTTTGGTTTTTCAACTTCTCCCGACGCCCTCCACACCCCACCAGACATTCATGCGATATACAACATGCGATATACAAGCCTCACCCTGGACCCGTGGTTTCTATTTATGCCTTTGCATGCGAATATGTGTCATGATACAAGTGACCCAGGGGTCTATAGCGTCGTCAGTAGTTTTTCGGCTGCGACGGTGACAGTGATAGGCGGGTCCAGCGGACCTTCCCCATAGAGTTTGGATTTCGAGCTCATTGTTACGAGGGCTGCGGAAGTCTCGGCACCATTTTTGGGTTTCTGTCGTCTTGTGCTGTGTTATCACAACACCCGCGTATTTGTCATTGTGGTTGTGCTAGCAGGTAAGAGCAGTAGCAATGATAATGGCATCCAATGCCCCTGACGGCCATCGCTAGCACCATCATCATCATGATCATCAGCATCTTAATCATCATCATCATCATCGTCATCATCCATCAGCAGCATCTTCCTCTTCTTCATCATCATCATCATCAGCATCGTCATCATCAGTTACCTTCTGCATTACACTCCCCAGAGTGCACAGAATCCCCTAATCAAGGAATGCCCCACAAATCATGACAAGAAGCAAGGGGCATGTTCCGAAAGAAGGGGTCCAGGGCTCTCTTGGGGCTTGCACAAGCGCCTTTAGACCCTGGAATTCGACGGCCCTTGGATTTCGGTAATATATAGTGGCCTGAATAATTACCAATACTACTTTGGAGGCTCCTTACTACAAGTTATAGTAATATGCCCCAAAAGCCTATTGTAATTAGTGAGGCCCCTACGTTAGTCACCTGCTCCCTCCACTGTGCAGCCCCGGGACGGCTGGAATCAGATCTCCCAGACCTTTCCAGAACTCGGCCTTTGGCAGGAGCTGCCAGGGGTGTTATGAACTGTAGGGTTTAGGGTTTTGGTCTACGGTTTAGGGTTTTGGTTCAGGGTTTTGGGTTAGGGTTTAGGGTTCAGGGCTTATCGGTAGCAAGGCTACAGGACGACTGCCACTCTGTTTCTGAGCACTTGTGCTAGTGTTTGGTCTTACATCATTTCTGTAATTAGTTGATGCGTCCTTCTTCCTTTTGTCGAATTCTCAGGACTTGAGTCTGAAGCTGTGAGGATGGAAGCTTTCATCAGTCTCAAAGAGGAGTGTCGACTGATCAGGCTTCTGGATAGAAGCTTTGAGGGCTGTAGGGCTTCAGCGTTTGGCGTTAGAGCCAGAAGGGGGGGCTCGGAGTTGGGAGAAGCTGCTGTCTTGGAGCTTTCATGCTGATCAAACCCCACTTCCAACATGCAACGGTAGCCAGTATCATTACACAACCGAGGCTGCAGACACCAAACACACAAAAAAAAACAAAGCACAGCATCCCGCGCAAATACAAACAGCATGCAGTTGCAGACCCTAAACCCTAAACGTTAAACCCCTAAACCCCTAAACCCTAAACCCTAGACGTTAAACCCCTAAACCCTAAATCCTGAACGTTAAACCCCTCAACCCTAAAGGAGTTTCGGGAGCAGCTCTATCAGCGATGCTGGGAGACACACGGCTCCGTGCCGGGTCTCAGCGGTCCAGGAGGCGCCGAAAAGAAGCGGAGCACTTCAACCATGACGACTACTTATTACTTGTCTTTTGAATTTATAGTGGGATTCCCTCGGTTGCCGACAACGGCTTTTTCTCCGTATGTGTTCTTTTTTTGATTAATGCTTTGATAAATGAGTGCTCATGTCGCCGTGGGCTTCGTTGTCCCATGTTCTGCCTCTGCGAATCATCGAAGTCATTACATTAACAACATCATACAACTTTATGACTGCGAGTAATCTTTACTCCCGGAGCACTGGAGCCTAGGGTTGTTGGTTTGGGATGTCCAGCAATGAAGGCCCCACCCAACTCAGCTCTTACATCCGAAGCTCCAAACTTAGAACAAAACCTCCGTCTTCGGAGGTTCCTACTGGGAGGAATGTAGGAGCCTTGATAATTAGAATAGGGTTTTGGGGCCCTTGATACCGTAGTTATAATCAGGAACCCCCCCCTCCCCCCCAAAAAAAAAAATCAAAAAAAAAGAAAAACAAAGCCTATTCTAATTCTTAAGGCCCTTAGAGTAGAGCTTGCAAGTTGCCTCTTTAGCTGCTTTCAGGGCAGGGGAGTTCGAGGTTGCTCTGCGTTCGACCACCTGAGGAATCATAGCTTTCGGGCTGCTCCGGGGTTTCCCGAGTCCAGCCTTGTTTTGGCGATGCTCTAAACCCTAAACCCTCCCTGAAGCCTAAACCCGAAACCCGAAACCCGAAACCCTAAACCCGAAACCGTAAAGCCCCTCAACACGCGAGTTGATGGGTTCCGGGGGTGTAGGGATCGCAGGGTCTGCGCCTGGAGAGCCGTTGTGCCGAAGGGAGACTAGCAATGCTCCCGACAGGCCTAAAGCCAACAGCCCAAAGCCTACGTTCTGTGCTCCACGACCGGGAAGCTTGAAGATCCGAGAGAACCTCAAACAGTCGAAGCCCCTGGGCCGCCATGGACACCCAAAACTCCCAGGCCCGCCTTTATCCCTTTATCCCTTGAGCCCCAAAGTCTAAGCCCTAACGCCCGAAAGCCTCACAGCCCTGGACTGCTCCCCAGAGGCCCTTTGCAAGCAAACAAAACCCTCCCTAGAAACCTCAGACAACCTAAACCCAAAACACGAAACCCCTTATCCACGGAACCCCTGAACCCCAAACCCCTAAACCTTCTAAGACCTAATCCTTCAACCCTGCGCATCTCCTGTGGAGGGCGGGATCGCAGCCGCAGCCGCGAACCCGAGAGACGGAGTCGGTCAGCAGCGCAGTGGATGTTGGTAGGGTTTAGGGTTTAGGAAAGTTTAGGCGTAGATGTTCCAGGTTCTTGGATCTTGGGTTTAGGGCGTTGGGTCTCGGATTTGTTTGAGGGTTGGGATTATTCGGAGTTGTTGGGGGTGAAGCTTCATTGGCCTGTCGTTTTTCGATCCCGGTTTGGGGGAGATGGTCTTGAGGGTGACATGGCCGGCGGACTTTGGTGGCTTTTTTGAAGCTTTGGATGTTGCCTGTTAGGCGCTTACTTCGGCTTTTGACCTGGCCTTTTGTTGGCAAGTATCAGACGTGAGGTCTTGGGCTTGAGGTAGGTGTCTGGCTCATTCGCTTCGGGCCTATCTAGTTTCAGGAGTCCTGGCACGTTTCAAAGTTGAAGTTGGACTGGACGAATTTCGTGAAAGACTTGTTTCAGAACCATCTGTGTGCTGGCAGCCTTGCACGGGGCGTGGGGTCATCCAACCATCGCCTCCGCAAACCCTTGTACCCTAAACCCTAAAGCCTCAACCGAAACAGCTGGAGCCAGGTGGGCGAGAAAGTGGCGGGTCGCCATGGCAGCGATTCTGCCGTCCGGGGAGGAAAGGGCTTTGGGGGAAGTAGGGTTTAGTTTAGGGTCTAGGGTTTAGGGCTTAGGGAAGTTGGGGTTCAACAGACCAGCCCCCAACTCCCCAAACCTCGTGCCTGCAAATTGCAGTAAGCCATAAGCCCTAAATCTCTTCTATCCGAAAGTTCCGAAGTCCGAAATCTTCAAAGACTGGACGACCTTTCAACCGTAAAGGATCCGCATGGGGAGCTCTCTAGATCAGGGTCCCGGTGCCCTATAAACCCTACACCATAAACCCTAAACTTTTCGGCCCTGAACCCTAAACCCGAAACCCAAAACCTTTAGGCCCCCAAGCCCTAAATCCTGTCCTTTGGAGGGTTCAGGGCTTTACGGCGTTTCGGTTTTGGGGCTTCAGGGTGTCACTTGAGGGCTTTTCGGCTTCGGGGCTTTGGGGTATGCCCAGAACTCCGGCAACCCTACACGGTCAACCTTGCAAGGACGCATCTGCACCACCTACGGACCCCGAGGTCACCGAAGAAGCTGCGGTTTGGTCCTGGTGGTTGCTGTGATGTTCTCTGACTGCTACAATCATACTATAAGCTATTATAGCATTCAGGGATAGAGACAACCCAGAAATAATCAGCACATCCACAGTCGCATGAAACCAGTGGCATGATCTGTCGTAGTCCACTGTCGTTGTTTGGTCTTCTAATGCCTTCTTAGCGAACTTGTGCTATTTTGAGCTTGGAGTATTCGCCGGGATGCACAGACCGCAACTTTCGGCGTCACCCCATGTTCGACGCTTAACGAAGTGGGCACTGTGAGCCTTCCCTCCATGCCGTCTGCGCTGGAGAACTTCGCGCGGGAACTGCGAAGGGTGGTGCCAGATGGAGCGGACCCTCTGTTTCCTATGTACACGGTGCTTTGGTTAAGATTTGGACCATTGTGCGCTGGATGCCTGTGACTACCAGTCGCCGTCGTTGTCGTTGTCGTTATCGTTGTGGTCGTTGTGGTCGTTGTGGTCGTTGTGGTCGTTGTGGTTATGGTTGTGGTTGTGGTTGTGGTTGTGGTTGTTGTTGTTGTTGTTGCTGCTGCTGCTGTTGTTGTTGTTGCTGTTGCTTTTGCTGTTGCTGTTGTTGTTGTTGTTGTCGTTGTCGTCGTCGTCGTCGTTGTTGTTGCTGCTGTTGTTGTTGTGGTCGTAGCAGCAGCAGCAGCAGCTGCTGCTGTTGTGCCTATGGTGAGGTGCCTCTGCCGAGCTTCATGTCCATGACCTGCATCGAGCCCCATGAGACGTTACTGGCAGAGGCGGATCTAGCATAGGTGCTTAGACGGACCCCTTCTTATCGTCAGGCTTCCTAGCCAACACCCATCGTAATTATCAGGCGTTGCTTTCAAGCGTATAGAGATCCCTCAGCAGGGGATCCTGGTAACGTTTGCGCCCGAGATGGGACGCGCCATATTCGTGTCGCACCAGTGGCTGGGACAAGACCATCCCGATCCTGACTCTAGGTTCTTGTTCAGGAGTTTAATTTTAAGTTCCCGTAACGAGGAAACCATGCTGTTTGCAATGGATCCCTATTATGATAACTGGAAACTTAACTTCAGCTCCGTGATCAGAACCCAGGAATTCAAGCAAACCAGGGTACTCCAGGAAGCGCTGCAGAACCTCCTCTCAGGTTGGGCTTCTGCCTTGATGAAAGGCCTTTGTGGTACTAACCCAAAGGATGACCCGAGGAACCACGGCAAAAGATTCAGAACTCCAGACCCTCATAAGCCCTCTATATATATAGATAGATAGATAGATAGATAGATAGATAGATAGATAGGTAGATAGATAGATAGACAGATAGATAGATAGATAGGCCCCAGAAGCTCCAAGCTAGACACCTCCGAGTTAGAGGTGCCAGCAGGGTTTCCATCGACGTCACCACTGAAGTGCTCTTCGGACATCCTCACGGCTACTCCAACGCGGACATCAGTGAGACTTGCTGGGGTTAGGGGGGGTTCTAGGGTTTAGGGGTTTAGGGTTTAGGGTTTAGGGGTCAAGGGTTTCGGATTCAGGGTTTAGGGTTTTAGGGGTTTAGGGTTTAGGGTTTAGGTGTTTAGGGTTTCGCAGGGTTAGGCGTGAAGGGTGAGGAGTCTGGGGTTTAGGGTTTGGGTTATTGGGCTCAGGTTTTTCGGGGGTTGGGGATAGTGGTCTTACCTGTAGCGGGTTTCTACAGAGGTCCTAGAAGACTTCCGTTGAAGGATCTTGTCAGTTTTCTAAGAGTGTCCTATATGATTATAATCTCAGTGATTCCTTTTGCTTCTTTTGGGGTCTCCGAAGAAAGCAAGGGGAGTCCATAACAAGCACTCCTTTTGCTGTCCTTCCGAACTGGGACCAAGGAGAAGCGGCTCTTCCTTTGGTACGACTTCTTCTCCTGTCCCCAGCATGGAGCGACACCGGATCTTTCCCAAACTCCACCAGGCTTCTCGAGTAGTGGGTTTAGCTACTTTTGGGGGCCTTAGTAATTACCTATATTACTTTTGGGGGTTCCTTATTATACTTATAGTATAGTATATTTAGTTAGGGTCTATAGGGTTCAGGGATCCAGGATCCTCAGAACAATCTCAGTCTACCGGCGTAGTGCCAGCTTCCTGGAGTGTTTTTGTACCCAACTGCTGGCATCCTGCATCCTCCGAGCACCAATTTTTGGCATATTCCTGCTGCAAAACAACCCTTACTTCTGTTTCCATTGCCTCTGCCGGGTTTCTCAGAACAGATTCTCTATAAGACTATAGGACCCACTACACCGCATCCCCTCCTCTCAGAGAAGGTCTCCAGCTGGCCATCGACAGCATCCCGATCTACGTGCAGCGCTGCGCTCTCTTCGTCATCCTGTCGCCCTCGGTCCGGGCGGGTGAGGAGGACGGCTCTGGAAAGTAAACTTCTAGACTTCAAGTGCTCAGCCCTAAGCCCTAAAGCCTCAACCCTTGCGATCTCCAGACAGGAGACATATGCTAGTAGCAGGTGCTACCTTCGGTCAGCGCAATGAGCCTGCAATCACCCACCCCCGAGCTTCCCCCCGCGTTCCACCAAACAAGCCCATATAAGGACCAGCGCGGGCGATCCCTATTCTTCGGTACCATATGGGTGGGGTTTGATCCTAAGCCCCAAAGCTTCGTATGAGAAGACGGAGCTACGTTGCTCTAGGGCCGAGGGGCACCGAGCAGCACAGCTCCCCAACAGAAGTCGAGCAGGGGGAAGAAGGGGAAGCAGGCATGCCACAGAAGGCAACAGCGAACAGGGGACAGACAGTCGAGACTAACGACTTTAGAGCCAAGATGCGACAGCAGCCAGGCTTGCTACTTCCTGTTTGTTCCCCGTTCTCTCTAGAGGAGCAACGGCTCACTCGCTGTCCTTGTGTTTACTCTTGATATATTATGCCGAGGAACAAGGCAGTAGTGCGACAACTGAGGCAGACTAGTCTGTGCATGAATCGTTCTTCGACCGGGAAGACCTGGGCGGGAGGGTTGGACATGTTTGGCATGTTGGGAGACAAGCTAGGTAGGCCTTTTCTTCGACCGGGAAGACCTGGGCGGGAGGGTTGGACATGTTTGGCATGTTGGGAGACAAGCTAGGTAGGCCTTTGGGATATTTTATATTTTCCCTTATTGGGCTTAAGAGGACCCTATTTACTAATATTTTTCAGAGGCTTTAAAGGGCCAACCAGCAAGGTTCCGCGTGTCTGGACTCGTCAGTCCTTGCATGCCGCAGTGAGTCCCCACAGACGCTCACTTCCAGAACCTGAGGTAAGTTTTGAAAAGGACACTATTGCATCATACCTCTTGGGAGGGCCGTTTCGGCATGAAGTCGCGATGTAGCCACATGTGGGGGTTTCCGAAAACAGGGGACCCTAATACAGTACCCTAAATCGCAGGATCCTTAGTCTAAGGACCCCAAAATCAGGTACCCTAATTTTCGAAAAGTCCCATGTCATTGACATGAGCTGTCTTTTGAATCTCGCAGCTTTTGTCACTCCAGACCGCAAGGACCGGATCTTAAATTACAAGAGCTGGGGGCAAAGGGCCTGGTGCCGCACGGAGAGTCTCGCCCGTGAGCTGTGCCCGGCACACGACAACCTCATGATCCGGGTGGAGAGCTCCAGGCCGAAAGACGAAACTAATGTAGGGGCCTGAATCATTAGAATAGGGGTTTGGGGTATATTATACTATGTTTGAAATAAAGGAACCCACAAAACCCTATTCTACTTATTAAGGACCAAACTGGGGGTTTCCGAAAATAGGGGACCCCACTATGGTACCCCAAATTGGCCCTAATAGTAGGATCCTGAATTCTAAGGACCCCAAAATAATAAGGTACCCTAGTTTTCGGAAAGATGCAACTAAACAGGTTAGGCCAGGCGGCTTTGTAGCGGCAGACGGCTCTAAGGCACATTGCCCTGGTAACCACCTTGGAGAAGAACTCGCCCGGCGCGGGGGCCTTCAGCTTCGAGTGCGACCGCGAGAAGGTCGCCGGAATTGTTCGAAACTTGGTGAAGCAGAAGCTGCTCTACTGCCTGAGGAAGGGGGACTTGGTCAGCTACCGCTTCCTTCTGAACGAGCAGGTCCGGATGTTCCGAAGTCTCCCCCTTGAGCCCTTCGAGGGTCTCATCCCCGGCTTTGAGCTCCAAGCAGAGGGGGCCTCGGAGGACTGGAAGCTCGAGAGCTTCCTCTACCAGATCCTGGGCTCTTCTCTTAGGGGAGTTGTAGATTGAACTGTTTTGATATGAGCTACCATAGACGGGAAACCATGCCATTTACCATAAAGATCGGATTCCGTACTATTTACCATAACAAATCAAGTTCCTGAAACATCACCCAGGATGGGTTTCAGCCATATCGCTGAGCGTGACGCCGGGGGCTTCTCGCCCATGTGCTACGCGGCCGTGCGTGGGGATCCGCTGCTCCTCGAGTCTCTGCTGAAGCAGCGGGCAGATCCGAACGACAGGATCTGGAAGACTTGCCCGAAGTTGGGCATCAGCCGAAACACCTCCCTGTTGGCCGTCTGTGCCTTCAACGGCCACAATGAGTGCCTTCGACTTCTGATCGCACAGCGGGCCGGCGTCGATGCCCAGGATGTGATCAAGACACGCCCCCTGCACGCAGCCTGTGGAGCCAACAATGCGGAAGCTGTGCGGATGCTGTGTGCCGTGGGCGCAGATCTAAGTCTGAAAACTGCGAGATCCTGTCTGAGCCTCACACCCTTTGGCACTGCCTGTGCCATGGGCTCCGTGCAGACTATGAAGGTCCTTCTGGCACAGGCGCCACAGCCACTGAAGCTGATGCTGTGCCCTGCACTACCGAAACCTATTGAACAACAATTCGGTATTATAGGCGTTGCAATAAAGAACCTACAACCGTAGACCCTAAACCCCTAAACCCTAAACCCTACCTGCAAGAAGTCTAGGCTATGGGTAGCTTAAGGTACCTCATGATGGCCTTTCAGAATGCCAGTGTGGAGTCGGCCGCCACCTTGCTCCAGGCTCGGGCCGATGTCAACGAGCGATTCTCCCCGAAGACGGGCTCGACCTTGTGGCTGGTGAATCTGGGGTCCTGTTATAACTCTTGGAGGGTTTAGGGTTTAGGGATGGTGAATCTGGGGTCCTGTTATAACTCTTAGAGGGTTTAGGGTTTAGGGATGGTGAATCTGGGGTCCTGCTATAACTCTTAGAGGGGGTTAGTTGATTTGAGTTAAGCCACCATGATTAGTCAGGAAGCCATAGTTTTTTACCATAGATCCCTACTATGGTAGTTTAATGTATAGTATATAAGTTCCTTACAAAGAACCCAGGAATGCGGCTATGCGGGTGAAGCACCGCTGGCGGCCTACAACCTTCACCTCGATAGCCGTGAACAGCTGGGGTGCTACGCCGCTGATGGTCAGCATCGTGGCCGGCCTCTTCGATGTTGCAGCTTCTGGGTTCTTGTTAAGGGAGTTTATTTAAGTAAGTTACCATAATGGGGATCTAGAGTAATTACTTTGTATTTAATTAAGTTCCCATAATGGGGATCTAGAGTAATTATTCTTTATTTAATTAAGTTACCATAATGGGGATCTAGAGTAAACACCCAGGCTTTCCTGATCGTGGCCCGGGCCGATTTGGAGATCCGGAACACCCGTGGAAAGACGGCCTTGATGCTGGCTGAAGAGATGCAGGCACCGGACTTCCTTAGAGCGGCCTTGTCAGGTAAAGGCCGAGCTGACCACCTGGCCCATGAAATTGCGGGTGGACCCACAGGAAGCGCCACCCTCAACATGCTGCCGCATGGGTCCCTGGTGACGCTTGAGCTGTAAATCAGAGCATTGCGAGACCCGGGCAAGCCAACATCTGATTCAGTTCGATTAGACATGTGTGATGTGCACCAGTTCCAAGACGTGTGTACAGAGATGGTTTCTAGCACCGCCGGACTGGATCTTAGCTCGTCAAGCACCCAGTACCATGTCGGCACCAGAGTCCAGCCACAGGTGTAGCACCATGCTGCCTGTGTTCCGTATAACAAAATCTGATTGATATAGTCCTGGCACTGTGTGACTAGAGACAGCTTTCCGAGCGGTCGTTTATTTGGCACTTGCCGAACTGGCCTGCAACAAACCATGTGCTGCAAAGCCCGGAACTTGTATCAGGAGTCCGGCCTGTGTTGGTTTTGCTCCTGGAGCCCTGGCAATAAAATCGCCCCACTCCTTGCAATGTCATCGGGAACTAGTGGAGGCGTGCCGCTGGGGCGAAGGGACGAATCTTTTCCTGAGGACCTTTCTCGAGTCAGGAGACCGAGGGGGCCTCATTGAACCAACAATGTGTATAGCACTTGCGGCGCATATTCCATATACTATAGGGTAGCTAGTATGTGTACACACACACACATATATTTATATACATACATATATATCTATATATATATATGTATATATGTACATACGTACATACGTACATACATGCATACATACATACGTACATATATGTATATATATATACATACACAGGTACATGTACAAAGATTAACATGATGATTAATTTTCTGATTGTATTATTATTGCTCTTATTATTGTCATGGTTATGCTCGTTGTTATTTGTATATGTCTTGTCATTATTTTTGTTTTAGTCGTTATTGTTATTATCAGTAGTATTTTGCGTAGTAGCGCCACTATCAGTATCAATTTCAGCATTAGAAGTATGAGTATTAGTGTTAAGCATTAGTATGAGTATTAGCATTTGGATTAGGGCTAGTGTTGCTGTAGTATTAGGATTAGCATTAGTATGTGTTTTCGTACCAGTATTAGCATTATTTTCATTATCATCATCATTCTTCTTATATTGATCACTACCGCCATTATGCTTATTACTAGGATTATGACTATAATTACGATGATGGCTATTGCTATCATTATAAAACTCATGTTACATACGTGTCCATATACACACGTTCGAGCATCATTTTCTTGTTGACTCGTGAAGGCTGAGCTAAACGCTCGCTTCTGTTACTTGCAGTGGGGCAAAGGCCCGCACCTGTGCCTTTCCATACCGTCCATTCCAGCGAACAGCCCCATATCCTAAACTCCCCATGCCAGAATCCTAAACTCTAACTCGACCCTGTTGAAAACCTCAACCCTAGAATCTTAAAGCCCTGAACCCTCAGGTTAGATAGAAATTTTTCTGGTTTTAGCATCCAGGGTTGAGGGTTTGGGGTTTTGGGGTTGAGGGTTTAAGTTATATAGGTTTTGAGGTAGGTGTAGGCAATCTAGCAAAATCTAGCAACGAACTTTCATTGAACATGGGTGCCAGGCAAGTCTACAAAGATCCAACAGTCTGACACCGGAACTCTGTAATCCTACAAGCTCCAAAACAGCAATGCTAGAGACACTCTAACATCGCTGGCTGTGGGGCATTGCCATTCAGGCCCAGAAGCTTGCCCACGTGATTTGGCAGGCCTTGCGCACCGGACTTTCTTCAGGATGTATCTAGGGCTCTCGAACTTTTGACTTTTTTCGGGGGGGGGGGTGGGGTTAGGCGGGTTTGTAGGGGTTGGGGTTTAGTGCGTTATGGGCTTTAGCAGGTACCTCAGCACTGTGGCGTTGAGGGTCATTGTACTCGTGGTGTGCACATTTCTGTGCCATGTGGAGTGCCGACTTCCCTGCTCGGGGAACATTGCCAGTGTGTCCGATCTGGCAAGTGACCGTAAGAAAACCCTGAAACCCTAATTAGAGACCATAGTCCATGCCCATGCCATCCTTGCAGCCCAGTGCACCGAAGCCTTCTGATCCTGCACCCGGCACCTTTACTCCAAAACTTTGAACCGCAGAGATAGGGTTTAGGGTTTGGAGTTTAGGGTTTAGGGGGTTTAGGGTTTAGGGTTCAGACAGGGGCTTTCTGGGGCTCCTTATGACAATGATGGTACAACACACCCCGAAACCCTATTCTAAGCAATCAGGCCCCTAGAATCACCCTGCAGCCAGGATGTCGTATCCTGGGTCAAGGATGGTTCAAGCGGAGAGGCCAAAAGAGCCCTAGGACCGACTCTGTGCTCAAAACATTTGAGCAAGGGGTGGTCTGCGCTCTCAGAGCTGGCACTGAGGGTTTCGTTGGGGAACTGGGACCGAGTGACACCCCTAAACCCTCAACCCCAAGTTCCCCGAAACTCTCAACCCAAGTTCCCATAAACCCTCAACCCCAAGTTCCCATGAACCCTCAACCCCAAGTTCCCCTAAACGCTCAACGACAAGTTCCCCGAAACCCTTAACCGCAAGTTCCCCGAAATGCTCCGCCTACACCCTGAACCCCAAGTTCCCATAAACCCTAAACCAAGTTCCCCCAAACCCGAGAGTTTAGCAGGTTTTGACTTGCAGTGTCATAGTCAGTGTTGTCTCATACGTTGGGATAGTGCAGGGTTGCCTTGGCGTACATGTCTGCATGAATACCTCTCACGCACGCATATAAGATGCAGGTAAATGGGTAGATAGTCAGACAGTGAGATGAGTAGACAGGCAGATATACGCTATATAGACATACATATTTACATACATATCTATATATATATATAACAGATAGATATGCAGATATATGGACATATAGTTATATACATACATACATATATATATATATATATGTATATATAGACAGAAGTATACAGATATATAGGTGTATAGACATATAGATATGTAGACATGTGGTATGTATATGTATATATAGAGTTTTTTGGGTATATATATACACATCTAGATACATAGGTACTTAGATCCTTCAATCATTCACTCATCCATCCATCCATCCATCCATCCATCCATTCATTCATTCATTCATTGACTCATTCGTTCATTCATGCATACATACGTTCATGCATGCATGCATGCGCATATTCACAGCAGCACAGAGATGCATATATATATATACACACACGCACGCATATGCATATTGCTCACTCACATGCGTGCATCAGCATTGCGTCAGCAGGATTGTTCCGAATCGACCATCAGTCGGCCGCCACCTTTGGAAGGGAGGTGGGGGTGTTCGTGTTGCAAGGTGTGGTGAACTTGGGCCACTTCGACAAACCCTAAACCCTGAACCCTAGGCCCTAAACTGGGTTCTTGTTAAGGGTTTTAATTCAAGCTACCATAATCGGGATCTATGATAAATAGTATGGTTGCATTGTTATGGTAACTTAAATTAGACCCCTTAACAAGAACCTAGTAAACCCTAAAGTTTGTATATAAAGGGCAGCGACCCTAAACCCTGAAGAGCCCCGAATCTCCCCAGGAGGTTTGGAAGTCTCAGCGCTTTCGGTGTAGGGGTTTGGGGTTTGGGGTTTAGGGTTTAAGGGTTTAGGGTTTAGGGTTTAAGGGTTTAAGGGTTTAGGGTTTAGGGTTTAGGGTTTAGGGTTCACCAGTCATGGGTTCTGGGTTTGGGGTCTAGGGGCTGCAGCTAGGTGGCTGGGATGGACGTCACTTCTAGAAGGAGCTACAGAACGACTCGGCATGTCATGCCAGCTACAACCCAAATAGCAATAGCAAACAGCGTCCTTAGTTGCGTGAGAGATGCCCAGATCTGCACCCTTTAAGCTAAACCCTAAACCCTGAGCGTCCGCAGGCACGAGACGTCCGTGCAGACGGTCAGCCGTGCGAGTGGTGCCAGGAGCCTAGATTCGCCCCAAGTGCAATCGCTTAGGGCTTACAGGGTTTGTAGGGTTCATAGGGTTTAGGGTGTACAGAATTTACTGTTTTTTGTTTAATCCGAGAGCTCTGAGCCCGAGAAGGGACAGAGCCCTCAACCCTAAAATGCCTACGTCTACAACCCCCCGGAGCTCGAAACCCTCGCAATCAAAAGCCCGAAGCCCAGCACCCCTACTTCTATACACCCTAAGATAGGGGCCCTAATATACTATAATTATAGTAAGGAAGCCCCAAAATAGTATAGGTAATTATTTAGGCCCCTACACCCTAGGCAGTGCCTCGTTCTCAGAAAAGACGGCTGAGGTTTCATCCCGACCTCTGACCTCTTCCTTGTCGTCGGTGATGATCTTGTGGGTGTGACGCTGGAAGGCCGGGGGTCAGGGGATGGAGGGACTAGAGGGTCTATATAGGGTCAAAAAAGGGCTGAAAAGGGCTTATAGGGTTTATAGGGTTTCTAGGGTTTATAGGGTTTGTAGGGTTTAGGGGTTTAGGGTTTAGGGTTAAACAAGGAGGAAGCTTTCGGAGTCTAGGGCTTCAGCTTTGTCACTTGCGCGCCGGGTGGTACTTCAAAGAGTTGAGAGTTGCAGGTTCAAGGTGAGGGCATCACGGAGTCATGGAGGTAGGGTTTAGGGTTTAGGGTTCATGGAGGCAGGCGTGTGGTCGGAAGTGGTCATGGGCAGGTTCAGAGATTATACCACGATCACGGCTACCGCGCCAGAATTGGCATCGCAGGCCGCGAGACTCGAACTGTGGGTTGAAGAAGCCAACCTCGTGGCAAGACTCTGGACGAACTACACCACACCACAAAGCCTGCTCATCCAGCGGCCTCAAAATCTTGAACTGCAGTACGCAAAGGCCTCAAGCTTCAAACCCAACACGGGGTTTCATGCAAGCTGAAGTTCCAGGTCTTTTTGCTGACAATGCGCCGGGACAGAAGAGGCTAACCGGATTAAAGGGTGATCGGGTCATCGCATCGCTAATGTGCGCGATTGCTCTCGACATGATTGTCACACTGAGAGACTGAGAGTGAAGCTGGTGGAGGCATGATCAAAGACTTGCTGTGGATATGCAACCGTGTTGCGCTGTTCAGGCTCAGTTTGGCAGAGTGCTACAGGACCCGACTGACGGTTGAA